TCTTAAAATAGCTCTAAGTGCTACTTTTTCAAAAAATTTTCAAAAAATTTTAATTTGACTTTTAAACATCATAAAATCATCAATAACAATTGGCCCAATGTGATATTTTAAAGTGTTATGAGAATCATTTCATCATTTCATTAAACATTTTTTCATTAATACATAACATTGATTTGCTTAGTAAAAAATGAGTATTTGTATTACCTGTTTGTTCAATTATTTTGGCAGATCATCAAGTGAGTTGATACTTTTTGTAGGGGTGTATTATTATTACGATTACACAAAGCAAAATATTATCAATGAAATTCTTGTAATTACCCAGCAAGATCTGCTCTGTGTTTTGATTCCAATTAAAATATTTATAAGCTAAAATAAAAGACACTTCATACATATCAATACAAATAAAAAAAAAGTACCACCCAAACCAAACAACAACACTCATGTTTTGTCACCTTGAACCCTGTCAAAAAATAAATTGTTTTTTGTTTTTCCAAAAAAAAAAAAATCAATTCATGTCTGTCCTACCAAAAAAAAACCAATAGGATAAATAATTAATGTGTACGCATTGATCAAATAACAAACTTCTTTTTTTAAAAGTATTTTTTAAAAATGTCATCAGGAAACAAAACAAGAAGACAAGAAAAAGAAATAACTGAAAGAGAGTAAGTGTTTTAAGGATGGTGGTGGTGGTTATTGCCCACCACTTGTCATTACTCTAGTTTTTTTATATAAAAAGAAAACAATGCCAAAAACATTAACAAATAAAAGAAAAAAAAAAAAAATAGCTGATGGGAATAAGTATTGTTTATCATAAGAATGGTGATGGTGGTTATCACCATTGCCACCACTTGTCACTCTAGTTTATATATAAAGATTGGTGGTTACTGCAATCATTGCACTCTAGTTATTATAGAATCTTTGTTTACAAAAAAAAAACTAAATTAAACTTTTAAAATTTAAAAGGGATGCTGTAGAGCTCAAAGGGTAAGTGTCATTATTAAATATCATTTAAAAATAGAATGTCATACTATGGCATTAAATAATGTCACATTTAAACATGTATATACTGATATGCATTTCATTAATGCTTAAAGGAAATTTCCAATACAGAGTGTCACAATTGAACAAGCAGAAGTCAAAAGCAGAGGTGAAGTTGAAGATGAAACCAATAATGATCAAGGTGGTGAGTTAGAACAACCTATTTGTGATTATCACTCATCTGACATTGGTGTAATTGAAACTGAATTGGACATATTAAGTCATGGAACACTTGAGGTAAATTATGCCTGAAACAAATGTTAACCATAAATCTCTACTATGCCAACTGCTTTATGTCCTGTGAAAAGACAATCAGTGATAAAGAAGAGATGAAAGAAGATAAAGTAAATTTCATTAGACTTTTTATGAACACCTGATAAGAATTTTATGTTCTTGCCATTTAGAAAGGACCATTTAGATTAAACAAGGCCAATCAAAAGGAAATTGATACAGCTTATAAGTAGGGTTTGTATTCATAAATATCATAAGGGGTCACACACTATTAAAATCAAGTGATCAACTCACGTTTTTAAGGGATTTTTTGCTGTTTTAATAGTGTGTAACCCCCTTAATGATATTCATGATATTTATGAATAAAAACCCTACTGGAGGGATTGTTGAAGAAGAGTTATATAAGCTGGGGAATAATTTGGGATTCGAGCAGTAAGTATTCATGCATATGTAGTAAACTGCAGCTCTATTGCTATTCATTCATTCATACTAGATATTGATGATGAAGTAATTGCAGAGCATTTCACAGAAACAGAACTTCATGAGATAGACAGCACACTTATTCCACAGGTACCTGAACTCTCAGAAGAAATAGCTAATTTTCTAAATAAATTCACTGGCAAGGTAATAAATACTTCATTTACATATTACCAGTCACAGGACATTTCCCACTAATCTATAGGAGGTTGTAAATAGGGATGTTAAATGGTTGAGTTGGTTCAGTTCAGTTTAAAAACTATGTTAGACTGGTTTGAACTGTGGTTTAAAACCGTGGTTCAACCATGGTTTGTTGATCATATACTAAGGTCTGATTGACCAATTTTAATAACCATTGTTGATCACATACTTTAAATATGAGTGGTTAATTTTAAACAATGATTTTAATATAATATACATATACATGCAATACTTTTACTGTAAGCTCTGATAATTCTTTTGCAATTAAATTATGATGA